TTTACATGTTCTCCCTGTGCCCACGTGGGTTTCTTCTGGGTACACTGGTTTCCTCCCACACTCCAAAGACATGCTGGTAGGTTAATTGGATCCTGTCTAAATTGGCCCTAGTATGTGTATGTATGAATGTAGGTTAGGAACCTTATTTGTATGCTCCTTGAGGGTTAGGGACTGATGTGAATGTACAATATATATCTGTAAAGCGCTGTGTAAATTGAAAGTACCTGAAATAAATAAATAGAGGAGAGCTCTTTCCATTTTCAAACCTAATCCTTGCCATCAAGTTCTGAGGACCCGCAGCGATATTACCTGCTTTATTGATTGGTCTGCTTTATTGATTGATTGATTGATTGGAGGCAGTGGATTATTTCTGAAAGCAGGCCTGCTAACAGTTATTGGTACTTTACTGTGGATGCCGTTACTTTACTTAAAGTGGGAAAGAGTGGTTATATCTGCTGTATATGCCAATGCTATTTTGTGTTTTCTTTCTATTGAGTTATGTTCAAATCCAAAATAAACTTCATATTGGTTTACACTAACTTGTGTGTGAGTCCATTTTACAGTGGTGACTTATTCTGTGCACAAGAGTACAGTGGTGTCAGCAGAGGCTGGGCTGTCAAAGAGAGGTCCAGATTGACCGGAAACCCAAAAATTTCTAAGCAACCCTTAAGGGGATAGTTCTACGTATCAATGCTTTATTTTGTTGAGAAATCACTTTGAAAAACACCTTCCTTGAATATCTAGCTGTGGCCATTGTAGCAATTGTACGTACAAATATGGACGCGAACATCCATTTTGGTAAAGACCCTCCATCTTGTATCATTTCTTACTCCAAATCAGCTCCCCTTCCCTCTGTGTTGAGTGACACGTGGTCCTTGTGTGCTCTGAAGCTGATCGTAAAGCTATAAACCCGTCAGTCACTGGACTTCAAACTCATTCCAAAATAGCAGTAAAACCTGCATTCCATGTGAAAACACTTTTTCATACAATTTCGTAATCTCTCGTAGGTAATACATACCGTAAAATAAGATATATATTCAGAGAGGTCATTTTAATAAAAGTCACCTGATACCTTACACCTCTAGATTACGTCTATCCGAGAGCAGAAAGCGATATCTCCTTAACCGTCATAGCAGATATGTCATATGTGATGTCTGGACGTTCAGAATATCGTTCTGCATATTATCCTGCCAGTGGATAGGCTGGTGCATGCACCTATGGAAGGTTATTGACCATGATATAAACTGCGAGGGATTTGGTCATAGCCTGGGTTCCCCGCCTAAACACCCTCCCCAAATGAAGCGATTGGTTCTCCGCTTTAAGGAGACACCCTGCTGGTAACCTAGAAAATAGGCTGTCAAGCCTGAGAGAGATGAGATGAAGAATTCTCCCTTTTTAACATCAAGAACCAACTTGGGAGATTTGTACCCTTTTGTTCAGGACCTTGATCTGCTTAAACCAAGGCTGACGGCAAGTATTCTACCTCTCTAAACATATTTCTGTTATCTCTCTGTTGTGGTATTGCTTTCTGTATATATATATATATATATTGGCTACATCTTTTTCTGTAAATATTTTTATTGCACCATTTTGACCTTTTTAGTAATAAATTCTATTATCTGAAAAGTGTTGAACTGTTTCTAAAGCTCTTTAATGCAAATTAAGAATCCCTTTCTCTGAAGAGCGCTACTGTGTGTTTTTAAACTTCTGCATACATCTGCCTGCGGTGACAGTGTGTATACGGACACTTATTCAAACATAATAGTGTTACTGCTAAGATTGGCGAGTTTCCTCCTACTCTGTACAAAAAGATGGTGGTGGCAGTGTGAAGGGTTAATTGCGTAATTAACCTGACCCAGTAACAATCTCTCTCAGGCTGCGGTACGTAGATTGTGGTCCACTAGCTGGAAAATCTTTGTGCAGGGTGCAGCTGAGCCTGGCATTGTTACGCACGTGACAGCGCAGTTTTAGATTGGCTAGTCCTTCAGTCATGAGTTGGTGAGAAGGGCTGGGGGTCTGACGCTGTGTCTGTTACAGCCATCTTGAGTAAAGGCAGATGATTCATGTAACATTTACTTCCTGTAATCCATCTGCCTTTAGCTCAGGCATGCAGGCAGGACGGTTTGCTTAGATGTGAAAACAGCTACCGCCTCCTCCAGATGAAAGAAAATAAAATGCCCATGAAGACTTCTGAGATGTATGACATTGTTTTGGTCCAAACCAGAGACCAGGAAGCAACTGAAGTAATGTAAATTGAAAAAAAAAAATCTACATTTGCTAATGCTAGCAGCTTAAAGTGGAGTTTCACTCAAAAGGGGAAGTTCCGCTTTAAGCCTTTGTCCCCACTCCCCATTAAGGATTGGCACCTTTGGGGAGCAGGGGGGGAGCGGGTACCCAAATTTGACAGGTAAGCGCTCCCGCTTCCACTGCGATCCCCTAGTGGAAGTTGTCCTCCCCCCTTCCTCCCCGTAGTCTTCTGTGACACATGACAGGTCCCAGAAGACTACGGGCCATTCACAAAGCACTGCGCTTCTTGTGCATGTGCAGTGGGCATGCAGCTGTGAAGCCGCAAGCTGTCACAGCCAGGTGCTCACACTGAAGATGCCGGCGCTGGGGAGAGAAAAATGGCTGGTGAAACCAGCCTTGATGAGGACATCGCTGGACCAAGGAAAGGTAAGTGTCTGTATTTTAAAAGTCAGCAGCTACAGTTTTTGTAGCTGCTGACTTTTTTTTTTCAACTGGAACTCTGCTTTAAGGATTAAAAACAGTTCACGTTGATTGAGAGTTTAGTTCAATTTATTGTGAATCAGTCTGTATAGGGGTATGTTTTTAATGCACCCCTATACAAACTGATCCAGAGAGCTCTACTCTCTAGAAATATTTGGTTGATTAGAGCAGTGAAATCTCTATATACTGTACTTGGTAAGGCTGGCCATACATTATACAATTTTCTTGAGAATTTTGCTTTAGATTTACCAAAAACCATATAATATGAGGTCAAACCTAAACAACACTTTCAATTGTATCCAATTAGGCAGGCCCTTGCACTACATAGTTGAAGGTAAATCTAAAGGAAATTGAGCAGAAATTGGGCAGAAAATTGCATAGTTTATGGCCAGCCTTCGTTTGCACAGAGGAGGATTGGCATTGATGGATACATATATGCTTGCATCAAGGTAGCAGGAACTGGTAATCACACATTTACCTACTCAAGTCCTGTGCGTGCAAAACGTTGAAATACTAATCTTTTTTATGCTGATTGCATTGTACACTGTAATAGATGTAACATTCTTCTTTTTCAAATCAACACGCAATATGTGTTCACCAAAAAAAAAGAGTTAATTATGTTTTAGGAGAATAGCATCTAAAATTGCTTCTTAAACATGTCTACCATACAAATATAAGGGCTGACACTTACACATGTCCCACCTTTTACACACTGAAATGTGACAAGTTTGTATAAATGTTCTCTTTCTGAACAAGAACATAGTGATTGAGATGTTCATCCCAATTGTCAGTGATTAATATGATATGACTGGTATTTCAGGCTTGCTTCAGGTGGAAAGGGTTGTAAGCATTGACAACTTTAAATGGCTGTTAAGTTCACCTATATACAGGCCCAGTGCAATACGTTTGTCCCACAGGAAAAGCATGAAAGCGTTCAGATACCAAAAAATGGGCACTAACTAAGCCACTTGATTTAGTAATAACTTGTTTGCTTAGTGTTATGTGACAACTCCTAGCTCATTTTTCTTTTTCACCTCGTAAGAAAGGAAAACGTTTTTATTTGCTAATCAAACAAACGTACCTTTGTGGTTCATTGAGAGCAGAAATCTTTTTAGAATGGAATGTTAATGTTATTGTAAAGTTATTTGTAGGAACACAAAGGAGCAATAAAAACTAAATGGGCAAGTGCAGTTCATCGGGTGTTTGGGATATTCTATGACTGTTGTTTAATACTTGCTGACTAGACAGGAAAATATCTGATACGGCTATAACATGCTGTACAGTCCTGTATAGTGCAAGGAAGGTTAGCCATTAAGACTGCACCAAGGTAGGCCGAAACGGTATTGTGAGTCAATCCTTAACCACTTGGCCAATCAGTGATCACATGATTGGAACCTCACACAGAGGTCCCGTACAGCGATCGGTGTTCCACAGTGTACTCCGGACACAGTGGGCACTAGATCGCGGTGCTGCGCGCTCCCAGGGAGCGAGCACAGGCAATGGATGTAGGAGGACATTTACAAATGGCCACCCGCTCCTACACTGCTCCCTTCCGGCCCATGTACATAAACGGCCGGACGGGAGCAGTGCAGTAGTGGGTGGCCGTTTATAAACGTCCTACCACATCCATTGCCTGTGCACGCTCCCTGGGAGCACGCTGCACCGCAATCAGGTGCCCGCTGTGTCCAGAGGACACAGTGGAACACCGATCGCTGTACGGGACCTCTGTTTGAGGTCCCGATCATGTGATCACTGATTGGCCAATCAGTGATCACATGAATATTAGTAAGCAAAATGTCACTTGCTGACATCATTGCTTACTACTTGTGAAATCTGTGATTGATTACAGAGGTCACATGGTACAAGGCTATTCACAACAGCCTTGTACTATGTGACAAACTGTGACCAATCACAGCTCACACAGTATTTCTCAATGGCTGCAAGAATGCAGCCAGAGAGAAGGATTGTTTTTACAGCCTTTATGGGTTTTAAAAGCAATCAGTATAAAGCTTGAACAAAAGGGCCAAGCCCAACCCCTGAAAAACAAAACAACCACACACCATTTTTTCCCCCCTCCACCAAACTTTACACCTGGCACAATGCAGTCAGGCAAGTACTGCTCTCCTGACAACCGCCAAACCCAGACATGTCCATTGGATTGCCAGACAGAGAAGAGTGATTTGTCACGCCAGATAACACATCTCCACTGCTCTAGAGTCCAGTGGCGGCGTGCTTTAAACCACTTCATCTGATACTTTGCTTTGCACTTGGTGATGTAAGGTTTGGATGCAGCTGCTCATTCCATGAAGCTCTCTACGCACTGTTGTTTAGAGGTCTTTAGCTAGTGACTCTGCAGACAGTTGGTGACTTCTGCACACTGTACACGTCAGCATGCGCTAACCTCGCTCTGTCATTTTAAGTGGCTAACCACGCGGTGGCTGAGTTGCTGTTGTTCCCAGTTGCTTCCACTTTGTTATAATACCACTAACAGTTGACTGTGGAAAGTTTAGCAGCAAGGAAATTTCACAGGTGGACTTATTGCACAGGTGGCAACCTATCACGGTACCACGCTTGAATTCACTGAGCTCCTGAGAGCAACCCATTCTTTCACAAATGTTTGTAGAAGCAGTCTGCATGCCTAGGTGCTTGATTTTATACACCTGTGGCCATGGAGGTGATTGGAACACCTAATCCAATGAGTTGGAGGGGTGTCCCAATACTTTTGGCAATATAGTGTATATATATATATATATATATATATATATATATATATATAGCTAACATTTGTAATTCTAGGATAATACACTAAGCCAGGGTGTCCTCTTTTTTTCTTGTTTCTCTGCCATCACTCAACACATCAAAGTCTTGGCTGCTCTGTAATATATTGCTTCAATGGTTGCTGCTTTGGCTCTGCCCCTTTCCATCCTCATATTGCCCCAGGACTGTAACGGGCAGCCTCAACAGCCAATAGTAAAGACCATCAAGCAGAAACAAACCAACAGTTACAGAAGCTCTCAGAAGTGCCTGAGTGCAATACAAGTGACCCAGTGCTGGAATAACCACTTGCCTACCAGGCACTTATACCCCCTTATTTACCAGGCCAATTTTCAGCTTTCAGCGCTGCCGCACTTTGATTGACAATTGCGCGGTCATGCAACATTGTACCCATATGAAATTTTGATCATTTTTTTCTCACAAATAGAGATTTCTTTTGGTGGTATTTAATCGCCACTGGGCACTTTACTTTAAATTTGAAAAAAAAAAAAGTTTCTTTGTTTCTATTATAAAATTTTTCAAACAGGTAATTTTTCTCCTTTGCTGATGTGCGTTGATGAGGCAGCACTGATGGGCACTGATAGGCGGTACTGATGGGCACTGATAGGCAGCACTAAAGGGCACTGATAGGCAGTACTAATGAGGTGTCACGGATAGGCGGCACTAATATGCAGCACTGATAGGCGGCACTGATAGGTGACACTGATGATGGGTACTGATAGACGGCACTGACTGGCATCACTGCTGGGCACTGACTGGCGGCACTGACTGGCACAACCGCTGGGCACTGACTGGTGGCACTGACTGGCAGCACTGCTGGGCTGCACTGGTGGGTGGCACTGGTGGGCAGCACTGATGGGTGGGCACAGGTGGGTGGCACTGGTGGGCACAGGTAGGTGGCACTTCTGGGCACAGGTGTGTGAAATTGCAGAGTGGCACAGGTGGGTGCACTGCTGGGCACAGGTGGGTGCACTGCTGGGCACAGGTGGGTGATCTGCTGGGCACAGGTGGGCGGAGCTAGTGGGCGCACTGCAGGGCACAGGTGGGCGGAACTTGCAGGTGGCACTGCTGGGCACCGATCATCAGGGCACTGATCATCAGTGCCCTGATGATCGGTGCCGATCCCCGCTCTGATAACTGCCGGTTCTCGGCAGTACTTTCCTCACGATCTGACAGCGTGAGGAAAGTGCAGCCGAGAACCGGCATTTGCATTTCCCTCTGATCAGCGTGTCATTGGACACCGCTGATCAGGTGGTAAAAGGCCGCTGTGATTGGCCTTTTTTACCACATCACGTGATCAGCTGTGTCCGTAGGACACAGCGTTCACGGAGATCGCCGGGTGCGCGCCCCCTGGGGCGCGCAGGAGAGCGCGTTCTGGGGGGACGTCATATGACGTCCACTCAGAAATGGCCGGCCGCAGTGCAGCCGTCATTCGGCTATCTGCGGTCTGCAACAAGTTAAACTCTGTGGAGGCCCCTAGGCAGTCAAAACCTTGGGGCCCCCCAGCAGGTTTCTGGAGGTCTCCCATGTGTACACTCTAGTGGGATAACATTGAAAAAGGTAGTGTGCACATTAGCCACTAGATAGAGATGATGATCAGTAATGTACATTACATGGACGTAGGTTGCGCCAAACTTTTTTTATAAAATGACAGCTGAAAGAAGATGAGCTTTTATGAGAAAACTGTAATGTGAACCTGGTGTCTCTGGATGTACTCAGTTGTTATTGTATACATTACATTCTAATTTTCTTTCAAGATAAAATCAATTTTATTTTAATCTGTTCTTGTGGGGCCCTTAAACAGTGTGGGTCCAGTGCCTACTTTCCCTTATTGGTAATCCAGCACTGAGGGAACCAGTGGTGGCACGGAAACAGTTTGCTGTGGTGGCTATTCAAGGTAATTAAGGATGTAAAACTTTTTTCCTCACAGGTTCACACACAATCTATACCAGACTTTTTCAACCAGGGTGCCTTCAGGTTGTTTCAGGGGTGCCTTGGCAAAATGCCTAAAAATTGCCCAACAATTGTATACAAACCAGCAGGTGGATCAAGCTTGCCTTTTAGTTACACAAACCTATGGGTTTTCATTGTGCTCCATTACAACCTTCTAGCTGCCGGCATCTTAATAACCAATGAGATCAATGGTTAATAAAGAGGAAATCGGGCCCCTGCACAACATCCTTGTATGCCCCTGCCCCTCCCCATCACCACTGGGGTCATATTAGCTGAGTGGAGAGAAACTGAAGGAGAGGAGAAACATTGGAATTCTGTCAGTAACAGCATGCAAAGGTGTATTTGCTTTGGAAGGATAAATCACCTCTAATCTCAGTTGTCCTACATGTGTGGATGTTGCTACATTATGTAAAACTATTAGTTTAGTTTTCTACATTTTAAAATGGGGTGCCTTCACCAAAAAAAACAGTTGAGGAAACACTGATCAATACTAGAGTTTAACCGCCTCCAGCCAGCCATATAAGGAAATGACGGGCACAAGGTGGTTCTCTAATTCTGGGAGGACGTCACATGATGGGGGCACGCAGCACGGCGATCGGTGGTGCGCTGTGTCCCTGGGACACAGCAGATCACCGATCAATGGAAAGAGCCGAAGACATCGGCACTGTCATGTGTCCAATCACAGCTGATCACATGTAAATAAGGATTTGCCGGTTATCAGCATTTCTCTCCTCATGAGCTGTGACAGCTCGTGAGGAGAGGAGAGCCGGTAATCGGCATTCCTTAGAGGGGTCATGTACACTGATCAGGGCACTGATGATCAGTATGCCCTGATGATCAGTGTAGCCCCAGCAGTGCCACCTGTCAGTGCCTATCAATGTCACCTGTCAGTGCCCATCAATGCCACCTGCCAGTGCCCATCAGTGCCACATCAATGCCACATATTAGTGCTTACCAGTGCACATCAATGCCACATATTAGTGCCTATCTGAGTTGCCTTTCAATGCCACCTATCAGTGCCAGTCAGTACCACCTATCAATGCCAGACAGTGCCGCCTATCAGTGCCGCCCAACAGTACCAGTCAATTCCACCTAACAGTGCCAGTCAGTGCCACCTATCAGTGCCAGTCAGTGCCACCTATCAGTGCCATATATGAGTGCTGCCTTTCAGTGCCCATCAGTGATGCCTGTCAATGCCCATCAGTGCCACCTACCAGTGCCTCCTCATCAGTGCCTATCAGTGCAGCCTATCAGTGCCCATCACTGCAGTCTCATTAGCACACATCAGTGAAGGAGAAAAAAAATCACTTATTTACAAAATTTTATAACAGAAACTAAGAAAAAACTTTTTTTTCTTCAACATTTTCAGTTGTTTTTGGTTTGTTTAGCAAAAAATATAAAAAAACCCAGAGGTGATTAAATACCATCAAAAGAAAGCTCTATATGTGTCAAAAAAATGATAAAAATTTCATATGGGTACAGTTTTGCATGACCGCGAAAGCTGAAAATTGGCCTGGGCAGGAAGGGGGTATAAGTGCCCTGTAGGTAAGTGGTTAAAAAATGGTCAGATTAATTAGAGATTATTACCAAAGAAATAGCAACACAATAATGGAACTGGTATCATGAACCCCTAATAAACCATACCTAAAGAGATATTAAACCCTCTGAAAAAATGTAATATATTGCAGTTTGCCAATTATTAGATGTGGCAGCTGCATTCGTTTTCTTTTTTTTAGTTTTTTCCCTCTGTTTTCACCTGGTGATCTGGCCAGTACATACCTCCTTTATTAGAATGTCCCCACTCTGGATGAAGGAGCACAGGCAGCACCTTTGGACAACATCATTGTCAGTCTAGGGCAGGGTTTCTCAACTCCAGTCCTCATGGACCCCCAACAGGTCATGTTTTCAGGATTTCCATTATTTTGCACAGGTGATTTGATCAGTTTCACTGCCTTAGTAATTACCACAGCTGTTTCATCTGAGGGAAATCCTGAAAACATGACCTGTTGGGGGTCCATGAGGACTGGAGTTGAGAAACACTGGTCTAGGGGAAGGTGTTAAATGTATTAGCAGATTTAAACACACTAACAAAATGAAGACAAACTCCAGCTCATACTTTATAAGCAGCTACAACTAACAGTTTTTTTTTTTCTTTTGGGATAACATAAATAAACACTAATCATTGTAAGCACCCGTCAGTGATAAATGGTTTGTCTTAACCCTTTACCTGCTACATCTGCAGAATTGTTCTGTTGAAAAACAACAGACTTACTGGCTTGAAAACATAAGCAATAAAGCCTTAAAAAGAAAACAAATGCAGCCACCACATCTAAAGATTGGTAAGCTGCAATATAATAAATATTTGCTTTTGGGTTTATTACTGTTTCAAGTCAGTTCCTTCCATCTGCCAGACCTTACTATTGGTTGCTAAGGCCATTCATTACAACTGTGGACCAGTTTGATGCAGAAAATGGCATTAACATAATTAAGTCCCATCTGCATCATTAAGTGCTGCTCAGTGTAAGGGAAGAAGTGAAAAGGAAGAAGACCTTGTTTTCCAGGAGACTGGATGGAAAACATCTGGAAACGGTGTGTGTGTATATATATATATACTATATAAAGAATAAAACACTGGGTGTGGGCACAAGAGGTGTAGGGGAGGTATTGGCTGGAGGTGGAGAAGGAGCCTTGAGTTTTGCTTCAATCAGGGGCGGACTGACCATTTGAGCACTCGGGCACTGCCCGAGGGCCCTGGGTCAGTAAAGGGCCCCATGAAATGCCCCTGGCACCTTTTTATAGGCTTTTTTGGGTGTGTCAGTCCTGCAACTCTGCCCAGCATGCCAATCTGTAAGCAGGAGACTAGACTTGAGAGTCTGTGGGGGCCCCAATCTTCAGAGAAAGATGGATTGCTAAGACTGCCGGACATCATTGATCGGGTGAGAGTCCCATACACCCACTAACTAAGTGAACACTGACAATTTCATCACATTTGCAGGGGCAGACTGACAATACATGGGGCCCCCGGGCAATTGCTGATCATGGGGCCCCTGTGTCCTTGCCCGCACTCAAAACACACCCAAAAAAAGCCTATAAAAAGGTGCCAGGGGCATTTTATGGGGCCCCCTACTGACCCCGGGCCCTCGGCAGTGCCCGAGTGCTCAAATGGTCAGTCCGCCCCTGGTGTGCTTTGAGTGTGGGCAAGGACACAGTGGCCCCATGATCCCCTATTGCCCGGGGGCACCATGAGTTGTCAGTCCGCCCCTAGCTTCAAGCTTACTAGCCCTTGAAAATAATTTGCAGTGCTCTCTTTTGTAGTATATTTTAAAGTAAAAAAACAGAATAGAGAGTACAAATAATAAAATAATGAGATACAATAAGAGGGTTGGGTAGGCGTTGTGTTATGTTTTTTTTTCTCAGTTGTGTGTAAGGAATTTTAATGGTTAGTAATCAAAGAGATATAGGTTTAAGTATACTATACAATAATCATGTTAGTCATTTCACAACATCAAAGCTGGGTCCCTCCCTAACTAAGGGGTAAAACATTAGCCAGGTGACACCAGAACCCTTTGAAGGTAACAACTACAGAAATAAGATGTTTCTTTAGATGACAGATTCACATTTAAATCATTCCCCTTTCTAACTGTTATTTATAGTCTCATCAGCTACATAGGAGAGCAAGTGCAGCAGAGATGTCATAGAGGGGGAAAGGACTTTGAAATGTGATTGCCATCTGTTATCTGTAATAGAGTAATTAAGAGGTGCAGTGACACACAGCAAGACAAATGAGACAATAGACCTCCCGCAGAGAAGTTCTCTTTGTAGAAATGGCCAAGCCCCTGTGGTAAACATATATTTTATGCATAATAAAACAAAGATGATAAAATTGCATGAGCAAGGCGAAGATTTGTTTTAAGCCTGGGAAAAAACATGAATGTTTAAAAAATGTAAACTTAAAGCTAAATTTCATTTGTTAATCTGTGGGTCCATGTGTTTACCTTTTTAGCTCAAACCCCAAATTTAAAACCAGAATCGCACTCTCATTAAATAATATTCAATATATATCTAAAAAAATAAAAAAAGCCATCCTTATACTCTCTGTAATTTTATTGTGAGAAATACAGTGTTCGAAATACATAGATAAAATATTAGTATTAAAATACCCCACAAAGTTGTTCTCTTGTTTTCATTGCTAATTACCTGTTACCAAAATGGAAGAAAATAGCATATGGCACATACAGTATCTGGTTATCTAGTTTAAGAAAAAATATTAGACTCAGGATGGATAACCCCATAATAGTAAACAAGCAGTAAATGGTATCCACTATGACAGTGTTTCTCAACCTTTTTTCAGTCATGGTACCCTTTAAACATATGCAAAATTTTGAGGCACCCCATGAATTATACCTTCTTTTTTTAAGACAAATTGGGCATTTAGTTATAAATATTAATGTATACCTTCTGATTTTTATAATATGAAAACAGACCAAAAGTATTAAAAGAAATTATTTTTGTAAAACGTTAGCTGTATATTTTATGCCATTACCATGACCTACCTCCTGATGCACATGAGGATACCTCCTATGTCTGCATTTTTTGTTCTTTCTACCCATAGTAGGGCCAAGAACCAATACTGCACATTTTTTTTTCCTACCTAAATACACTGACAATAAATGAAACACCTTTTTTGTTATCTAAAACACATTGACACGACAGAAATGTTTGTTTTGTTTCAGAAGCATTCATTCATCAAAGAAATTTGTTTTGTTATATTTATTATGTTGAAGCAATTTGTTTTGTTATAGTCGGCATTCGTTTTGTATATTCATTGGTCCAGGTGGATTAGAAAAATGTTGCAGTTTTTTCAGAAGATAGCTATATATTTTGGGTGGATTCTATATTCATATATCGGAACTATTTGGAAGGATTCAATATTTTTGGACTGAATAAATAATACAAAATTTGTCTGCCACTAATTTTTCAAACCAGAGAATTGCATTAGACTGTGGAACTGAACTGACTGTGACAGTTAAAAATTTCAATTGAAATCACAAATTTACTTGAATCCAAATTATTGAACAATTTTGAATATTGAATTCTTTCCCGATGGACCCAAACTACTGTTGATTTCAATCAAATGAAACAAATGCATTCGTTAATTTTGATGTAACTTTTTTTTTAAATTTTTTTACATTCGTTACTATGTCCATCTGGAGATTGTATACATCAAAATCTCTGAAAATCAAATGTTCAGATGAAAATCAATTTGTTACAAAATGAAATGCACATATCTAACTGACACTAATTAAAGCTGGCCACAGATGGGTAGCATTTTGAATAGAAATTCTTAAGAAAATAATGTTCTAGGAAAGTTTGTTCATTTATCTAATCATTAGTGGGGTGCAATGGATGTTCGTTTTTGACTGCAGGGACAAGAAGATTCGAAGGAGTAGGATGGAAACCTTTTCTCAAGCTAATAAATTTCCAACAGTGTATGTGGTTTTCATTTGGTAAAATCCATTCATTCTAAAAATCAAATGTTAAAAGCAAACTAAATCTTTTGGATGACATTCCAATCTTCTGTACAAATATATTTTGTACAAATTTTCTTGAGGGGTATATGTTTGAGCATGATCTCAAAACAAACACATGCCGCATATATGTAGCTCGACAGAAGAAAGTCCACTGTCAAGAGTGCTGTAGTTTGAGGGCTGAAGGAAGAACCATATGGCACCCTGGTTGAGAAAGGCTGCACTATGACAGTAACCTATATAAGGCCTCCATTGGCTAGACAAATCAGTAGTTAAAATTCCTGTATGTCAGAAATACACAAATATATACCCATGGTTACCTCCTTCCTTCCCACTTGTTTGGGATTTGAAGTAGGATTAATATAGTATACCCACTACCCCATAGGTGACATAGCTGTAATGGTTGAACACTGGAGGTATGTGCCAAAAGCCGCCATCCTGGGTGACATAGAAGGCACTGGAAGATGCACTGGCCTAGTTTACCTATTTAGCTCAGCGTGCCATAGGAGTGCTGTAGTTTGAGGACTGATGGATAACCCCCCCAGTTGAGAAAGGCTGCACTATGACAGTAACCTAGATAGGTCCCCATTGGCTAGACAAGACAGTAATCAAAACTCCTGTATATCAAATATATAGGAATGTACACCCATGAGTAATCACCAACCCATAGGTAACAAA